AAAAAAAAAAAAGTTTTGTTTCATTTAACTCAGACCCTTCTGAGTTTTAACAGTCTGACCACTGGGCCACTTTAGACAAGCCACTACCTCTCTGAAGCAGTCTCATTTGTAAAATAGAGTAAAAACACCTGTCTCACAAGGTGGTTGTAAAATTTTAAGAGATGAAAAGTCCTGCACGGTGTTCACACAGGAGTCTACTAGTGGGGCATAGCATAGCTTATCCCTAATAAAAAAAAAGATATATATCATTTTCTAATCCTTCAACTGGGAGAAACTTATAATTTGCAGTCCATGAGTTATACAAAAGCCTCAATGAGTTATTTCTTTTAAGCTCATAATTGTCCCTTCACAACACTAAAGGGTAGTTTAAAAAATACACACTTGAACATGGCAGAGGAGGCAAAAGATCTCATCCTCCCACAGAAACACTGAAAAACAAGCAGGAACTCACAGCCAAGTTTGTGAGAACTCTAGAAAACAATAAAAACAGCAATCAAGCAAATGCTGAATCAGGAAAGGGGCAACTTTAAAATGGTAGGAAAGCATCTTGACATCGTCCCTCCCCAACACCCTCCCTGGTGTGGCAACAGTCTGGAAGACAGTAGCTGCGTTCCCAATGTGGGATCTTGGTGCTGGTTTCTAGAGGAAGCACAACAGAACTTAATCACAAGTTCCTGTTTACATTTATTCTAACCTATCTGGGGGCTACCTGAAGAATTGACAGACAGTACTCATCTCCTGTTTTGTCTAACTTAGAATTCAAGCCAGAAAAGCAGCAGACACTGCTTGAAAGAAAGAAAGTAAACAACCTGCAAATAACCTGGGGCAAAAAGTTATAGTCAAGATATACAAGACTACCTAAGGTCGGGAAGAAAAAGGTGCAGAGGTGTTTAGTGGGGGAAATGAGCTGTTCATTAGCATAAATGAGGACATTTAGAAAATCCTATGCATATCACTGAGTAAGAAGCCTGCTCAGACAAGACCTGCAAAGACACTAGCTTTGTGGGCTGATCAGTAGTTTCACTGAAAGCCTGGCTAAACGTTGAAGTAATAGCCTAGCACAGAGCCACCTATAGAGAGAGACTGGAAGAGATGTCTCTGTAAAAACACTATTACGCAAATTACGGAAGAGAGATTTCAGTGACCACACACAGCAAACAGTCTTCTTCTTTCTTTTTTTTTTTTTGAGACAGTGTTTCACTATGTTGCCCCAGGTAGAGTGCTATGGTATCATAGTTTACAACAGTCGTTCTCAACCTTCCTAATGAAAATAATTTTATGGTGGGGGTCACCACAACATGAGGAACCGTATTAAAGGGTCACAGCGTTAGGAAGGTTGAGAACCACTGGCTTACAACAACTTCAAACTCTTGAGTTTGAGCAATCCTCTGACCTTAGCCTCCCAGTAGCTGGGACTACAGGTGTGCGCCACTATGCCCAGCTAGTTTTTCTGCTTTTAATAGAGATAGGGTCTTGTTCTTGCTCAGGCTGGTCTCAAATTTCTGAGCTCAAGCATTCCATCCACCCGACCTTCCAGAGTGCTAGAATCACAGGGCTGGGCCACCGTGCCCAGCCAAAGAACAGTCTTTGCAAAAATAATATACTACAGGCTTCAATAATAAAGCCAATCTTGGGGAAGGAGAGAAAATCTGGTTTTCAGAGTGACCACATTATAATGTCCACATATTAGTTTTCAACAACACAAAAAATACACCATACAAAGACACAGCAATGTATTATCCATTCAAAGGAATAAAATATAGAAACCATTCCTGAAAGCATAGACATGGGGCTTATTATACAAAGATTTTTAACAATTATCTTAAACACAGTCACAGAGCTAAAGGAAAACATACACAAAAAACTAAAGGAAATTAGGAAACAGGTATAAGAACAAAATGAGACTATCAACAAAGATACAGAAATTATAGAAAATAACCAAACAGTGGAGGTGAAAATTATAGTAACTGAAATAAGAAATTCACTAGAGGACTTCAACAGTTTATTTGAGCAGTCAGAAGAAAGAATCGGCAAAAT